ACGTGAGTATTTAAACATTGTTAGATCTGAAACATAGTCGATTAATCAATATTTTTGTAATCCAATCAGTCACATTCTCTGGGTTCAGCTTGGTCCATTGTTGGAGATTTGTATGCTTCCTCTGTTTTAGATCAGTGTAGAATGATATATATTTTAAGTTTAACAGTCATTGGACAAAACAATAGATTTTGAAAAAGAAGCATTTATGGAACTGTAATGATGGATTTTCATTATTTTTGTGGTCATTTAAACAAACTATAAATTGCTGAATCGAGAAATAATCCCTAATGATGGATAATGAAAAATAATAAGTTCATTTTAGTGCTACACCAGTTAAAAGGCTCTTGAAGCTCCTCCACTGTTCTGAACATGTCTATCCATCCACATTTGTGGTGTCGCCCGACCCCTAAAAACCTTCAGCCCAGCAGCCTAAAACCAACACACACCAATCATGTGTCTCTAGTGGAACAGGCCAAGTCCTATTATAATAACCTTTAACAGCTGGAGGGCGGCATGCCGGTCGGACATGTTTTTTTTTTTTTTAGATAGATTGACTTTACTCTCGATACAATGATCCACGTTTATTAGGAATTGCACCCGCTGCAAGGTGTGCGTCCTTTAATGTGGCTCAGCCTGCGCGGTTTTGCCTTGTTAGCGGGTTTTTTATTGTTGCTCACATGGCTGTAAGTTATAATCATGTAATTGTAGGCTAGCCAACCAAGCCCCCCTCCACCCCATGGGAGGCTGCTGCTGTAATGCACGCTGCTGAAGGTGCATTCACAATATTGTCAGTGTTATCACCACAAATCACTGCTCGCATTCTGCGGGACTCAGTTGTTTTTCAGGGTGAAATCCGGTGACATGCTGCAGTTTCTCTTCTGTGCTGTCAACCTGCACACACACAGCGGAGTGTGACCTTTATGATCATCATTTCACAGTTTATGTCTCTTCTTGTGTCTTTTTTTTACTGCAGGGGGGGTGTCAAGGGTGTTACCGGCCCATTTTAACATGACACCACTGGAAGGTTTTTATTTTTTCCAAAGCAGGCGAGCAAAGTGAGCACAGATGAGAGAGAGATAGAGAGCTGGAGCTGCCAGATGTGTAAAGCTGCTCACAAACATCAGGATGTTTCTGTTTAATCTAGGAAGGATTACGCTCACAACACATCTGTAGATTAAAACTGAAACTAAAGATGCTTCTCAGGCGCAGTGTTTACAGTCAAAAATCAAGTGTATTTGCCAATCGGGCTGGTGTCACCAGTCTTTACAGGCCCACAGCTGCAGTCTCCACCCAAAATAGTAGAACCTTCCAGAAAGTCAATTTACAGAGAGATCCCTCCAACATAGTGACAGATATTGTTTTTTTTTGTATAGATTATAGTAGGGTTTAATACTACCGTAGTACAGCTTACATCAATAATTAGATCAAAAATGGAGTCAGTGAAATTAGACCAGTAAAGTAGGTCCAAGAATAAGTCTAGAGCTGAAACAATTAGTCTCTCAATCGACATAATGACAGAAAATTAATCAGCAACAACTATTTTAAGGTAAAAAA